TCATATTCTGACCTATTAATTAACTTGAGAGAAGACTTTGATATTCCTGATTTTGAAATAGATTTAAAAAACAAATTATGACGATTAGTTCTCTATTAAAGTAAATTTTTTTAATTCTTAAATGTTTAAAATATGCAATTCATAAATTAATTATGTCATTGATTATTTAATTATCTCTGTTTAGTTTAGTGTTCACAAAGTACCTTGACTTTTATTTAAATACATATAATGAGACACTATTAAGTATGTCGTTAATTATTAATTATTATTTTTTTGATAAATACTTAAAAATTAATCTTGATACATAACGTTAATTTCCAATGGAACCTTTTAGTGTTGTGCTTAACCTTAACATTTTTTTGATACCTCCAATTACTTTCCCAGGTTACAATATATTTATGTACCTGCTTCCGTGATATTGGTAAGGTACTTGTAATTTTTTTTACTTGCAGAAAGTTACAGGAACTTACTGATATTTTCCACAAGGTGAGGAAATTTTAATCGTTTCTCACCAAAGGAAGGAAGGATGGTTGGTATATACATATGTGTAATTTGTTAGATAAAATATTAACATGTCAATAAGGCAGGCCCATGTCTAAAACCCCTTGAACTAGTAGTTGAGATTTATTTGAACCTTTTCCACACTCTTGAAATAAGTAGACGTATTTAATCATTACGTAATATTACTTCAGAAACTATGTTGTGTTGCACCCTATACGGTCAGCAACAGGCATAGCTGTAGCTAATTTGACTTCATAATCATTTCCCGAGAGGTGAGGAGACAGTTAATCGCTGCTTACCCAAGGAATGATAAACCTATAATTTAAACTTGACGATTTTTCCGAACAGTGAGGAAATATTTAATTGTTCCCCGCCCAAGGAATAAAAAGTTTAAACTTGAAAATAATTTCTTCCAAAACGTGAGGAGACCCTTAATTGCTGCTCACCAGAGGAATCAAAATTATTTAAAACTTAATGATATTTTTCCAAAAGATGAGAAAATATTTAATTGTTTCTCACAAAAGGAATGAATATTTATTAAATGTGTGGTAACTACTTAATTGTCACCACCAGTTGATACTTTGTCCAATCTTGATGGCAAATGTTTTAATAATTAACTTCTTAAAGATAGCTTAAACATTTTGATAATATTATTAACAACAAACTTAAAAATTAACAAACCTTTGAATCCCTTATAAGATACGTATTTTAGTCACTTACAATATTATCCGCTTGGCTAAGGAGACTTCAAGTGTGGGAAACATGTATATGGAAATCTGTGGGCTACGGTTCGAAACCTGCCAGAAAATTAAAATCTTTTTTAACTTTTAACTAAATAAATATTTATTGACAACCCTTTTTAACTTAAATTCTCACTTTTAAAAGAACACTTAAATAATATTTCGATGCATTTTAATATTTTAATACAAAAAAAAATATATTTTTAATAATAAAATATTTTCGTCAAGTTATGTTTACTGATATGCATATGGGTATGAAAGTAGTATGTAATGCGAGAAGTATGAAAAGCATTTTCCAAAGTTAACGCGTGCAATTTATTTTAAAAACTAAATAGAAAAATAGGTCATGATGTATGAAAGGCATAAGCATAAGGAAGTGTACATATACTTTAGACTTGATAATTAAAGATAGGAAGATTGTTGGAAAATAATCTTAATCTTTTGAGTTTGAAAACATACAAACTTCTTTAATCTTGAGTTGTTTTCTTAACTACCTTAAGTTCATAAGATGAACAGAAAAGTCATGTTTTACCCCTGGATAATAGATCCAAGAAAGGTATTTACATGAAACTAAAGGAAAAATCATTAAACAGCAAATATTTAATTGTTGCTATTGACTTAGAGTTTAGAACATTACGTGGAGTAAATCAATGGATACTCACGTATATAAGTTTAAATTTTTTTATCTTGGCTAATACTTAGTATTGTTGATTTGTCTGTAAGTCAGTTGCAGGTTAATTAATTAAAAAAAAAAATTTTTTTGGGAAAAATTTTTTTGAGATAAGGGGGATGTTGTGTAGCAATTAAATTTAATAACGTTAAAACATAGCAATATAATTCTTAAATATTAAGTCGTAGAAATATTATTATTTATTCAGCGCCATCTATCATCATGCATATAAATTATTCAATATCGTAGTTCACTTTGAAAAGCAACGGACAAGTACAATATATGTGGGAACCTAGTAGTTGCATTTGGAATGTAAGTTAGATGGAGCTTAAATGTGATTTTTTAAATGAGATGCATAATTGGATGTGACGTCACATTAATGTTCTGGAAACAGTGAGAGGCGGAGTCAGCAAAACCGGTCCGTTTGATTCCTCGCACCATATATGGTGATATGAGAGAAATTTGCAATGACGCTGTCACGTGTTGTAGTAGCCTATAAATAGCAGTGCACAACCAAATTCGGTCTCTTTTGGCTGATAGAACCTTGAAGACCATACTTAGAAAATAGCATTAAGACTAGCAGTGGTAGTCAGTGCATTATTTACTTGATATTTCTCCCCGGATTAACGGGTAAGTTCAATACATTTGATTCGTTAGGCTGTAGGTCCAGTTAGTTTTTTTATTGAATTATAGAAAAATGTGTAATTGGTTCTAGGTCCATTAATTTGGCTAATTAATAACAGTAATAATCACAATTACTTGATCCTGATTGGAATCTCCTTGGAAATATATATATATATGAGCCTGTGAAGCTTTCTTGAGCAAAAAGTGACGGGTTCACGTGATGACAGCAAGTCCTGCTTCATCCCTGAGGACATTTGAGTCATCCTGATGCTCCCATGATCTTGCCAAGCTAAGTAAAACTTATAACTTCTTGATATTTAACCAGTGCATACTCCGGAGAACAATTTCTGTTTAACGTGATAAAGGATTTGTATTGGTAAACTGTAAAGCCATTATAAGAACATAACAAATTTTTATTGTTAAATAGTTCCAAAACTTAATATTTTATAACTTGTTTAATAATTTGTTTATATAAGAAACTTAAATTGAGTATTACTGTATTAGCACATGATCTTGAATGTATGAATATCTTTAAATCAAAAGAAAAATCTTTGAGGAAATATAGCCATGTATTTATTAAGTTGAATGTGACTAGTATTAAGTTTTAACCATGATGAAATAAGATCTGAATCTTTTTTTTTGACAATATAATATCTTGTTCACTGCGGTTTTAGACATTTTCATTTATCTCCCTCAAATCACAGTAGTACGGCGCCCTGATTATAAATTAAATAAGTTTCGAGTCTCATGTAAGCCCTGAAATAGCCGGTGATAACAAAAATTGTTACAATTTTTAGAATTTAACGAATCAATAATGGGTTTAACTGCCAAACTAAAGATAGCGGGCCTGAGAGGATCGCCTTGCTGACAGCCAACAAATGAATGCAACAGGTTGTTTTTAAAATAAGTTTAGTAGGTTCACTGTAGCATTGCCAAAAATAAATAGTCATAGTTTTTTCTTCAATTACTGAAAGCAAGGCACCTCTATCTACAGAGTTGAAGGTGTTCTTGATATCCTTGAGAACCACCAACCTCCGTAGCATTAAGCGATAGAAAGGTGCTAAGAGCGTGAACGGTTGCTTCACGGCCGCCCTTGATGCCAAACTACGACGCACTAACGCTATTTAAACTGAAAAAAAGGGATCCAAAACAAACATGAATATAAAATTTTACAATTTCCTGATAAAGCACGTCCGTCAAGGTCGCCAGACTACCGGAAAATTTCAAGGCTCCTATTGGCTGAGCAGTACACCATACATAGCAGCAGGCCCGGCTGTTCAAGGCGTTCTTAGTAAAAGCAATAAGTAAAGTATAATCTCGAATTATGAACGATTTCAAGTTTACACCATCATAAATATTGGAAAATTATAAGAAGTTCTAATCTTAAAATAAGTAAATGAACAGAAAATTACTCGTTGAGCAAGTAAATGTTGCAAGGTTTTTCTTTATTATAATTTAATGAAAATTACAACTTTGTGTATAAGGTAAAATAAAGTACCTACTTAGATAAATATTATTATTTTTTCTGCTCCTTAATCATAGACATAATCATAATCCAATTTGACTTAGAAATCGCCGATAAGCTCTTAAGTTTGTGCGAACGGCCTTATGTTGTCTTTGTAATTATACTTTTTGCTCTTCATTTATAAAAATATGAATGAGTGAAAATTTTACTGAAAACCTTAACATACCGCTCTTTTTCTTCGCATAAAATTTCAGCTATTTATGTAAAGTCTAACTAATTTAATCAGTACTTCTTATAGGTACAGATATTTGACAAACATTTATGTCGTAATTACAAATTCTAAAGGAAATGCCCCAATATCAGATAACCAACGCACGGTAAATAAGTTTTGTATTTCCGATTGTAGAATTGAAATAGGATTTACTAAAAATTATTATTTCCTCTTTCTCAAGTGGCTGACCGATAAACACACGCTTGACAAAACACTTGTTACTGGCAAAAAATATAAATTTGTGTTATAAAAATATTTCATAACTAAAATGATATTGTTAGCGATTTTGAAACATTTATAATTTCAATATTTTTATAAATTTAAATACTTATGTATAACATTCATTTGTGATTACTATTGTGTAATACATAGTTTTGCGACAATTTCAAATAATAAAAAAAAAAAAATGTATAATAATACATAAGTAATAGTTATTTATGCAACTGTTGTAAAATGACGGATATTGAAACACGAATGTGGGTTTATAATAATAGTACCACATACGTATTTTAATACCATATTATTAACAATTAAATACTATGTAGTATGTACAACACTTTATCTACACCCACGATATCAATCCTCTTTAAAAGATTCTGAAGTTCGTTCTAAGAACTTAAAATTCATGAAATGTTATAGCTCTGTGGTAGTAAAACGCGCATGAATGACAATGTTCTTTAATCATAAGGATACCAGACATCAAGCAATAAAAATTGTGTCTGTCTGATGCCTGAACCCTTTGCGTGAAAAGGATCCAAAAAGCCAAGCAGTGTTATTATAAAATTAATTTATCTCGCCTTCGTGTGATGAACCCACATTCATGTTTTAATACCCCTCATTATACAACAGTTGCATAAATTATTATTGTTTATATTTATCATTATGGCAGGTAAGCAGTAGCTATTGGATTGGACAGCTCTTGGCTGTACCGAGCTGTATAGTATCTATACTACATAATGTCAATAATGTTCCAGTGCTAATAAACGCGAACTCCCAGACTGAAACGTGCTCTACCTTAAAAATGAGGAGGAATGATCTAAGGAATCCTACTTTGTGCCTGAACTGATACGAACTTGGCTGGCTTTTCTTTTTTCTAGAGATAGTGATAATCTAAAATATTGTTTACATTTATCTCCAAAATCTGTGATGCATATATTTTCCCCGGATTTATGATATTTGAGACATCTCCTTTGATTGCCTTATAACCTTATTAATTATTATAAATTGAGCTCGATAACATTTTTGATATAACAGTTAAGTATCTTAATATTACGATTTATGTAGGTATGTATGCATATATTTCGTTGTGAGAATAAATATAAATATTATTTTTAATATTCGACAACAGCGTTAAACATTTAAATTAAGTATAATAATTATAAAATAGGTTAACAGAAATGAAGCATTTTATGAATGGAAAGTTGAAAACACTCAGTATAATACATCATTTAATCCTAATTAAAAAATATGAAGTGCCCACCTTGCGGGTTGCAGTATATTTTTGTCAAATCGTATAATAAAGTAGAACACAGAATTGAAAGTTTATTTCATTAACTAGATATAATCAACACTTCTTATCTCAGTACATTTGGAGGTAATAGTACTATGAGCCAGACGACGCCAAATGATGAAGATGAGCACGAACCACGTATTCCGGAATCTGTAACGAAGAACATTTGTTAATGTACGTTGGCCGTGTTCTATTAATTTCCCTACGTAAAATACGTAGGTATCTCAATAGAAGACTTCTGACTGGTTTTACAAATTACATAGTTAAATTAAGATTACATCACAACCACCTTGGCTTAGTGGTATGATTCAAGTTCCCCAGTTAAAGCTAAGAGCTAATTTTATACATTTTCATTAAGTGTATAACCACCACTAGGATATCCACTGGGGTGCGTATTAAAATGCATCGCGCTGCAAGCCCCGGGCCTAGGTCGATGCCTTGCATGGCTCCTTACTATTCTAAAATCTTGCCACATATACTTTATAATGGGGCTTTGCGTTCACAAGTAACAGGCATCACAAACAAAACTAACGCAAAATCTATCAGGTAAGTGAGCCTTGTAAGATCAAGTTTTTGGCAATATTAAAATATTTTTTTTTATTATTTTTAAAGCATGTAACTGCTTGATGTTTAAATCTAAAGAAAATATAACTAGAAAAAAATTCCACGCGGACCAGGCAGCAGACGGGACTCGAACCCGCACCCTTCGCAATCCGGGCGAATGCACTGACCAATTATGCTACCGCGGCCCTCACGGACCGCGTCGAAATTCTTTCTAGCTATTCTTAAGCTGCAAGGCAGCGCCATCTCTTCGCATTATAGGTAAACCCACAATGTCCATTCGCCCGGATTGCGAAGGGTGCGGGTTCGAGTCCCGTCTGCTGCCTGGTCCGCGTGGAATTTTTTCTAGTTATATTTTCTTTAGATTTAAATATTAAAATAATTGAAACGAACTAGGTACATCAAAATATTATTGATTTGTGATTAAAACCACCATACAATTCTATATATTTCATAAAAATTCTTTATGAAAACAATTGTTTTACAAGTACCTCTACAGTGGGCCTGTTTATGAACATGCGAGTAGGTACTTATCTTGGCCCGTCTAAAAAAACGTAATTTAAAAACTCTCTCAAAACAAAAAATACGTATTATGAAATTTAGCCTAATATATGATATTTTGGGTAAATAGCCTGCTTAAGTATATTTTTTGGTTTATTGTTTTAAATTGTACGATGGTCCTTTTTAGAGTTATCCGTTTTATTAAATTTCGCGTGCACCATTTGCAATGACTGTTGCGACACGAAAGTGCACCTACTGGTGGTCGCAAGCAAAACGGTTTCCGTTAGACTGCAAAAGAGTAATTCGAACACGGTCCACGGCGGAATATAATTTTCGATCTTCTGCATCCTCGATTCGCATCGGAGGTCTAAGAAACCTACTGCTCAGCACTGACAAGGCTATCACGAACTATTACAGTGAGAAACCCGCGGGCGGACACCAGATTCCTCCAGATTTCACACCTTACGTCACCAGGTGCCACTGACGTCCAAGAAGCCGTCTGAGTGGATGGCTCAAGGTACGTGGTATTTTATTCAGTGTTTGACGCCGTTATGTTACCGTTGAATTGCAACGGTTTTCCTGGTCGTTAGCGCGACAAAGTCGGGATTACTTCCAGGTAATCTACCCAGGGTGTGTGGGACAGTCATCCACCTCCCCTCGGTCTCTTTGCTTTTCAGGAGAGCTCACAAATCTTAGTAAATTTTTACTAAGAAACAAACACCAATATGAATTGTTTTTCAGAAGAATCATTAAAAATGGTGAACATGATGATACAAGTCGTGAGCTACTTGCAAAATTACTGACAATTTGTCAACAACTCCAACGTTGGCTCCCTTCCTTTCATATAAACTTGTAGTTTTGTCTATGATACTTATCAAACATGGGGGCGAAATTTAAGGTCAGTCGAGCTTATAAATATAGCAAATTTTAAAAGTGGGCCTTTCTAGGAACCGAGCCATCATAGGTTCAAAACAATGGTTCACGTAATTTGATGTTTAATTGCCAAATAAATCATAGAATCAAAGAAAATTATGTATGACGGATATGTTCCCATTTCTATAGTTATAGAATTGGAAACAATTCCGTCATACATATAGCTATAGTTCTATAAAAAAGTTCGCGATAGCATATCTCCGTCTTTTAATTTTGACTCACTATAACTTTTCTCCTCAAATTAACCCGGGTGCAACCGCAACATTAATTATCCTAATACCTACCAATATTATAAATGATAAAGTTTGTTTGTATGTTACTGAAAGGACATGGTAACATTTTGTATGATCGACTGCCCTAGCAATGTATAAATATTGTACTTAGGAATATTTAATGGTGAATGGCTGAATTTTTATAATTTCTTTGGAAACAGGCTCAGGAACTTCTGGTAAATTCACAATCTTGAAAATTATGAGAACTCCTACTATGCCATTACCTTACTACAGTTGATAAAAGATGTTGCAAATTATTCACAGAGTTATCAATTTCGCATTTTCTTAGAATCTTTGTTCCCATTTCTCCACTTAACTTTTCACAAAAAGTTTTTTTAAGCAAAAACATACAATTATTACATATAATTTGTTATCGTCGGCCTGACAGGAAATCTGTGTTTTAGTTTGTCCATTTACAAAAAATCAAGAATTAATTTCATACAGCCTTGTCTCAAGCCTGATCAGAATAATAAAATGTATTGTTTCAGGTCTTCAGTGATTTTTTATAATAGAAATTAGGGCCAAATATATCATATTGTGAAGGAGTTTACAAATAATATTGTTCACTTCGATATACTTACAAAAACATTTTTTTATATACATTTATTGCTCATTTATTTTGTAATACGGAAAATTTTCCTTTTTAAACAGACACGAAGTTTATACTTTTAAATATTTGAATTTTTCATGAAAGTTGTATGAGAATAATAAACAAGTTATTATTCATAAAACAATATTATAATGTTACAGGCTAGTGCGAAATAATTATACACGTTAAGGGCAGTTTCTTAGCCATGTCCTTTTGTACGCATATAGTTTATGACCTGGACTGAGACAGACACTTGTTATCCCGAAAAAATGTTTGGTATCAGTGGGATTCACAAAAAAACTTCAGTTAACGCAGACGAAGTCGCAGGCAGCCGCTAGTACAATAAAATAAGGCGTTGGGTGAACGTCGAAGGGTGAACGTATGTAAATGTATGCTGCGAAATATGGTGCTACGAGTTAAAAGCTAATGTTATGTATACGTAGTCTGAATGCACCCTTATGTTTGAAATAGATTTAGAATTTTCTTTTGCATTGATTTTTTCAAGAATTTCTCATGTACATTGTACAGCATAGAAAAAATGGTACCAGTGTCCCTTATAAGGACTTTTCCAAGCAATAATGAAAATTTTCACAATGGCAGATGTGAAGCTCGATGGCACAGGTGATTTGCGCGTTCTGTCTGCGATCGTGGCAGTTAAGCAACTTTCCCAGTGGTCATTCATTGGATGGGTGACCAAAAACTTATAATCTTATTCTGCTCCGTGTTTCGGAAGGCACGTTAAGCCGTTGCTCTCAGCTGTATCTGCTGACGTTAGCACCTATCAACCCGCACAATGCTCGCGGTGCGCGTTATGGCCCAATCTCCCTAAATCGTCCATAGACATGCACTTTGTTCTAAAGAAAATTCTAATCGCAGATATAATACTGTAATCTATGCTTCCAAATGAATTTAAGAAAAATGTTTGCTTGGCTCATTCTAACTTAATTGACAAAATTCGCGACTTTGACTAAGCTGAGCATTAGTCTATCTTTCTTCGAAACTGACATTCTAAAGTAACGTTTACTTAAGTAGAAGTATGTGGGGGCACAGTAGTGCCCACGCCAAGAAGACGAGACGAGCCAAGCGAAGTGAAAGGGCCTACGTTGTCTTGAAGCGCTTCGTCGTTTTTTTGAACCCTTATAACTTGGGTTCGGATTATACTAGACAAACAAAATTCTCGGGATATATCGTGCTATGTGTAAACATATAAAGTCTTAATTGCATAGTTATAGCTTAGCTTTATAAGTTTCGTTACTACAAGAACTGTTGCATAACAGTGGATAAATTTTCATCGTAATGTAGCGAAATATTCAAGCCACATATTTTGTGTCAGGGCTTATAGAGTTGAAAGCACGACTATACATAAGGTATGGTAACTTTTATATATGTATGTCGTAGATTGTTGAACGGAACGTCAAGCTGGAACCGACTTGGGTGTATTCGGCGTATGGGTTGGCAACAATAGTTACTAATTAACGTCATCTGGCGTTTGACATCTGTCACTAAGTGAATAAAATCAAGTGAAACGTCTGGCGAAATTTCTGTGTAAAACGGAAACAGCCACAGACAAAACAAAAAGTGAAACGTCAGTCTTGGGGACATTAGTGATCTAGACGTTGAGCTCTTCGGTCGTCGTCAAGCCCCTTGCAAACAGTGTTTTATTTAGAGGATTTGTAATGGACGACGACCCGTCACTAAACGAATGCCAAAGTGGCCCTTCGACATACATACATATATTCATCTATAATTTTGACAGCGCGAGTCATATTATGGTCTCGTCTTGGCAACACTTTACATGAACATGTTTTTGGTGGGATCAATTTGACAGCATCTTAGTAAATAATTTAGCTAAGACATAGTCATAGAAACGTCTATTTAATTTGCCCTTAGATTCAAATAAATCAACAGTAATTTAGGCGCAAAGTTGCTATTACTTTTGGCATCTAATATGAACAAAACAAAAGAAACGAATTATGATCCTTCGTAAAACATTATTGCGATGTTAAATTCTCAGTAATGAATCATGAACACACCATTAACAACCACAATAGACAATGCTTCTAAAATAAATTTTAATCCTGATAACTCCTATTAGGTTGATTAATATTATAATTTCAGGATCCATTCAAGTCTACAATGAACTTAGAAAATGAGTAATTTTTATTTATTGTTTCAGCTAGTCATTTACCTGAGGCAAGAGTAAAACATTTCTAGGAAAAAATACTCTTTCACGAAAAAACATCGCGTCTCAGTATTTAGTGAATTTAGGAACATTGTCATTATTTTTGGCTCCG